CACACACACACACACACACACGCACATGCACACACACGCACAAGTGCACACATGCCATCACAAGGTCATCAAAGGAAAAACCAGAAGGCCAGCTTTCTGTGATGCCATAGTCACCACAACCATCCCCCTCCAAGTGCCAGTGCCGTCCCCTCCCACTTCCTCCGCCATCCGACCTAAACATCCCGGGCCCTGACCATCCAACAGCTGTCCAAGTGCCACGTCTGCAACTCCATCCGCATTCCTAACTATGCCCATTTGGAGGCAGCCCCCAGGATGAGGAATATTATTATAATGTGCATGGAATGGATACAACAAAAAAACGCTTATACAGGCAGGATGCATCATTGCATATTAAAACTCAATGACTACAAATAAGTATCTATGCTTTGTGCATAGAAAAAGAGGCTCTGTGTTGGCCTGGCTTTGGCTTTCTCAGTGAGAGATGGCGCAGGATTAGAAGCGTCTTCTGGGTCACACTTGTGAGGTGGGTTTGGCATTACGCACGGCCTGGAAACGATCCTGTGGGGACACTTAGTGCATGCCACCCCCTGGGGAATTTGCTCTTTCAAGGAGCACTTAGCTTCTTAGCTCAAGGGTTCATCTGGTTAGGGAGAAGGCCTTGGGAAAAGCCCAGCACCACACCACTCAGGGGCTGGAGGAGCGTGTGCCGGGCCAAGCTAGAGTCCTGTCCATCAGACTCATGGTGCTTCCCCGGGGAGTGTCTCAGGGCCAGTCCACGGCAATGGCAACAGCTGTGGAAACCCAACCGTCCCATTCGCAGTCTCACTAACTTTTGGCCCCAGGTCAGCCTCAGTCACAAGAAGCCTTTATTCGGGCAGCTTAAGTCACTCAGGCAGTCTCTCTGGCACACGTATGTGCGCACATACGTACACATACACCTGCCTCCTTCAGAGCCATCGCCTTGAAATCACCATCAGAAACACAGATTAGTGGGAATGGAAGCACAGCCACTCTTTCAACTACAGGAAAAATGGAAACGCAAACCAAGATTTTCATAGTCAAGGTCAGCTGCCTACCCCATCCCTTAAGTTCTGTCTCTTTTTACCAAAACGATATATCTCACTGATTAGCAAGAAAGAGCAGTTCTGGCCAGATCTGCTGTGTGCCCTGTCTCTCCCTGGCTCTACTAATGAACATGTGTGCTGGCGTGCCGGTCTCACGTACACAGACCACCATGGCGACTTCAGAGGAAGGGTGCTCTGTGCAGCCCTGGCTTCCCTGGGTGTCAAGCCCAGCAGCACTCTGACCTCCCATCACACCAGCTGCCCAAATGCAAGTGAGGTCCAGAGATGCACAGTGACTTAGCCAGGGACACAGACAGGAGAGAACCAGGACGAGACTTGTCTCCTCTTATTACTCAGTGCTGCTTCCAATGCTCCAAAAAGAAGGTGACTGAGCCAGCAACTCCAACCCTGTGTGACAAACGTGGTCCGCGTGCACAAGAATCTGGTTGCAAGAATAGTGAAATATTGGAACAGCCTAATATTCAACAAGAGAAAGTGGAAGAGTTTGTGTGTGTGTGTGTGTGTGTGTGTGTGCGCGCGCGCGCATGGACAGATATGAGGTTATAGAATGTAAGGTGCGCCTTAGCCAGTTTGGCTCTGTGGATAGAGCGTAGGCCTGTGGGTCCCTCAGTGGATAGAGCGTAGGACTGAAGGGTCCCGGGTTTGATTCCGGTCAAGGGCACAGGCCTGGGTTGCGGGCTCAATCCCCACTTGGGGGTGTGCAGGAGGTAGCCAATCAATGATTCTCTCTCATCATTGATGTTTCTATCTCTCTTTTCCTCTCCTTTCCTCTCTGGAATCAATAAAAATATCTATGATAATAAAAGCATAATATGCTAATTAGACCAGACAGCCAAATGACCTTCCAGATGTCCTTCCGGGTGACCTTCTGGATGAAGCCGGGGCTGCGAGGGCTGAGGCAAGCCACCGTGGCTGCGATGGCCAAGCCCCTTGCACGAATTTCGTGCATTGGGCCTCTAGTATTAAAATAAAAAGAATGTAGGTGCAGAAAGGTTGTCAAGCTGTGTTAAGTAAACAAGCAGAGCAGAAAACCAAATGTGTACGAGCATCCCCACAGACAGCAACACTGAGAAGTGGACTCCAACGTGACAGGTTATCTCTGGGTGCTAGGACTATAGGAACCTTTACTCTCTTCTTGTTTGCATCATAAAGTAAACATGGCAAAAATCTCGTATGACTTGACACAATGTGCCATCTTCCAAGCTGAAACCTCTTCACCAGAAATCGACTCTGTGTCCTTCATGGCACCTTTTCGCAGGCTCATTCTATACTCACCAAAGTGTTCCAAACCCTGTTTGCTTGTGTGTAGCACAGGTGGGAGCCCCTCTCCACAGCGGCAATGCCATGGGCCTCACACCTGCCCAGAGAACAGCTTTCTTGCCCTAAGGCTTCCCCTGTCACTCCAGTGAATTTCTGGTCCTAGCTCCTCCCTCCACATGCTACTGCCAACTCTGGAGTGTGATATCAGAAGGCAAACAGGAGAGCATGAAAGATTATCATCTATCTGCCAACGCGTATCCTTGAAATACTAAATATACCTCTTTCAGATACCACCCTTGCCTTAGAGAATTGGCAAGGAGTTTTCAAACAGATAAACACTCCGTGTTGGCCCGCATACACTGACTGCCATAGCGCTGCACACTGGTGCTGCTGAGAGCAGCTTTCTGGAGGACGGTTTACAATATTTATCAAGGCCTTCAACTGTGCATGACCACCGGCCCATTTCTCAAGGAAACACTGTGCTTCAGAACGTGCGCAAAGATTCCACTTCCAGAACAAGGTAACTTAAAACAACAATTGTAAAGAACCTTAATGTCCATGGACAGGAAAACTGTTAAACAAATTATGGTTTCCCCACATAACAGAACACTGTGCACTCACTGAAAATATGTTGTAGCCCTAGCCAGTGTGTGGCTCACAGACCTGAGGGTCAGGGGTTTGATTCCCGATCAAGGGCACGCACCTCAGTTGCAGGCTCAATCCCCAGCCCTGGTCGGGGCGCATATGGGAAGCAACCCATCGACATGTCTCTCTCACATCTATATTTCTCTCACTCTCTCTGTCTCTCTCTCCTTCTCATTCTTCCTCCCTCTCTCCCTCCCTCCCCCTCTCCTTCCTTTCGACTCTCTCTAAAAAAATCAACGGAAAAATATCCTCGGGTGAGGATTTAAAAAAAAAAAGTATGTTGTAAAAAAAAAAAAAAAAGACTAATGAGCTAAGTGTTCACAACATGTACAAAGGCAGATCGGACAAGATTCCATTTTTGTTTTAAAACCAAAATATATATGGATATATATACGTATATATTATATGGGGATATGGACATGTATAAGTCAATGCTAAAAAAAAAAAACAGCATCTCACCTCTGGGTGATAGTATTACAGGATGATTTTAAAATTTTGTACGCTTTTGTATTTTTTTCATTTTTCTATAAAGAGCGTGTATAGCCTCTGTAATAAGTTTTGGAGGTTTTCTTTTTGTTTAAAAAAATCCCGCATTTACTGCTCAGATTTGAAATTCCTTTCATCCTGGCTCAGATTTGATACTAACATTGTGGTTAAAATGACTCCCAGCTGATGAGAACAGAGGGGACACACTTTCCTATTGCAGATCACACTCCTGGTTCTCTCTCCTTCCACCATCATGGCTCCTGCTTCCTGACTTACCCTTTAGGGCCTGACTGGCTACCCACTGGCTCCAGTCCTTCGAGCCCCATGGCACTGCCTGCGCAGCTGTCACATACCAGGACAGCCCCATGCCTTGGGGCCACCACTGCCATGACAGGCTCCCACCATTCCCCTGCAGCCACTGACCCCAGGCTGAACGCAGCCGAGCCAGCGCCTCCGAACCGGGCTCAGGACCCACTCAGGGGAGGGTGCTGCTCAGCAGACTGTGAGAACAGCGACACACCCTGAGGACCAGAGCAGGGAGGCCAGGGGAAGAGAAGGAAGCGGGAGAGGAGCCCGGGAAAGAGCAGCAGAAAAGCAGTGCTGAAGCAGCCACTGAGGAAACTGGGTGCCATGTTCCTGAGAGCTGCACTGGTCTCGCAGGCACCATGAAATCGGTCTGCTCTGGGAGCTGACCCACCCCCACCCAGGCTGCTCCCCCCACCCCACCCATGCTGCCACTACCTAAGCCTGCAACCCAGATTTCAGCCCAGCAAGCTCCCAGTACATACATTCTCGGGAAATTCCATGTTCGCTTTCTGCCTCCGTAGATCTGCCTTGATGAGTGCTGAGGTCAAGGGATTGAGAAGGAAGAGCAACAGACAAAGAGTTATCAAGCAGACTAATGTTCAAGTTCACCCCAGAGAAGGAGCCCTAATTGTCCTTAGGGCCACAGGTATCCCGGACCTACACCAGATATTCCAGGGAGCTAGGGGCACACCATCACCCACCTTGTGAAAGCCTGGAGATCGTGGCTGTCCCTGACAGCCAGGAGCCAACGACAGTGGCCTTATATCTGCCAGAGAGTTGGCGAACGCTGCTCTAATCCTCACAATAATCCCCGTTTTACAAATTAGGAAACTGAAGCTCCCAGATGTTAGTCCCCTTGCCCAAGGTCAGACAGCTGTGGAGGTTAGTATTACAGCCTGGGATTCACACAAGGGCCTTCTGTCTCCAAAGCCCATGCTCATTCCACCAAAAAACAACAACATGTGATTGCCTCCCCGGCAGATTTCCTGACAAGCCCTTCCCTCCGTCCTGTGTATGTAATGTGTGCTCCTGGTCTGCACAGTCCATCAAGACACTGGGTCCCAAACTGCCTCAGCCCATGAGCGGCCAGAGCCTTATCTTGTCCCAAGGCCCCAACTCACAAGTGAGGGCCGCTCCAAGGGCGAGGAACACACACAGAAAGATGTTCCCGGGCATGGTGCCATAGTTTTCGATTATCTGGCCCTGGGAGATGGTGAAGATGATCCCAAATACCTGGAAAGATACAAAGAAGACTGGGAACAAGGGCCCAGCCAACCAGCCCACAGTAGAGCTGAGCTGCCATAATGCAATGCCTGTAGCCGCCAAGCAGGGCAGGAAACAAAGAGCCCCTGCTATGGGGCCACCACCAAGTAAGACCTACCTGGGCAGACACGTTGAGGAGGCCAGACGATATGCCTTCCGATTCTGGGTATGTCAGCTCCACAGCAAACTCAAATCCCAGTGGGAGATAGCCAGTCATAAAGAACCTGAAGGCCAGACAACAGAAACAAGGTGATGGAGACCTTGCAGAGCAAGAAGGCCTCCTCGTTTCTACCCATCAAGACATGCTGGGCCCTTGAATGATCAGGCCACCCCCTAGATGGCCAGACCAAGGAAAGAGAGATCCTGCAGGCCAGGAAGAGCTTCATAGGTAGGTTTTGTCCTCAGGAGGCCTTTGTACTCAAAAGCTCTTCTTCTTGCACATCCAGCCACCAGTGGCAGACAGGGTCAGCATTTACAGAAGGGCAGGATGCCTGGGGTGTTCAGCCCTCAGCTGAGAGACTCGTCATGGGTACACAGACCCTACACTGGGAGTGGGAAGTCCCTGGATATAGAACAGCATCTCCATGACTCTATGGGACCTGGAAGAAGGAACTCAAAGTTCTCCTTATTTCCCCCCAGAGTCGCCAGTCACCAGCTGACTTTCACACACACACACACACACACACACACACACACACGCACACACACACACATGTACTGTCCACAGTAAATAATGGTGAGGTGATGCTGAGCAGAGACCCCTGTGCAAGAGGTATGCTTTCTCATACAACAGGTCTAGAAATTTTCAATTCTAATGCCTTATATCCGCACCACACTTTTTGCTGCTTTCACATCTGTTATCTCTCTCAATACTCCAACAACCCTACAAGGCAGGCCACTCATCTTCCTTTACACATGAGGAGACAGGGGCTCAGAGTGGTTAAGTGACATGCCTGTGGTCTATAAGATAGTCCGCAGCAGTCTGCTTATACCCAGACTTTCCAGGACCCACGTTGTCTGAGGCAGAGCTAAAAAAGACTCTAAACATTTCCTAACCTCCCAAGTCTGTAAAGAACACAGTGCATCCCAACAGCACGGGTGGGTCTGGAAGCCCCAGGCGGCCTTTTGAAGTGCTACCAAAACAAACAAGACCTCTGGGCACCATTTCCACATCTCCACACAGGTCAGTGAGAAGGCGGCAAAGGGATCCGTATGGCATCCTAGGATATCAGCAGCTCTAGGAGCCACGGGATGGTGCTTTCTGGTTAAACATGTTAGAGGTGAAACTTACCCCAATGTGCCAGCGGTGATGAACACTACCCACAGATGCTGGAGGGGCAAGGTCAAAGTGTACACCACCATGCCCACCAGAGTCATGACGTACACCACCAGGGTTGTCTCCCTACAAGCAGAAACAAAAAGGTTGACTTATACATTTCTGACTTTAATAGGACCATTTGTTCGTTCGGTCATTCATTCATTCTACACGTATCTATCAGGCACCTGCTCTGCGTTCAGCCCTCTGCTGTGTGCTGAAACATCTGCTCTCATAGATGAATAACCGAACCAATAATCACACGGATAATTACTTAATTGTATGTGGTCACTGCTACGAAGGGTAAGACCAGGAGTGTATGAAGCCATCTTGCTGCATGTGTGTTCTCCTCCTGCAGACCCCTCTCAACAATAGCAAACTGCCCTTTGACTTGTCAGTTCCTACCCATAGCAAGAAGGGCACACAAACAGGAGGAACACCAGCGTGCAGGACTACCCCGGAAGCCACCCAATTCTGCATGTCTACTTCACCCAGGACCCCGCAACAATGCTGAGAATTGACGAACTTGTAGTCTCTCTGTCATCTCTACATTCTTCTTGCTGCCACTTGCATGGGTCTACCTGCTGAATCTGAATTACTCCAGACACCCGGGACTAACGGAGAACATTCTCCAGCCCGGAACTAAGTGTGTGACTCCAAAGTGAGAAAGCCCCGCCCACCCCCTGTCACACTTCCCTTTGCCAGTCCCCTCAGAAGGACCATCAGCAATGAGCTGGTCTGTTTCAGGCTCACCCAGCGTGTGCCCCTCCCCTCATTTCTCCCATGGCACCCACTCTGGACTCTGCTGGGGCCCTGACTCCTACTCCTCTCTTTGCCCTACTTATTGCAGGGGAGCAGCTCTGCGTACACCTCTTCCCTCCTGCGCTGAACATCAGGTCTCAGACGATGCAAGTTTAAAGCCTTCACACATTTCTCCTGAAGCCAGAAACCTGGTGGGGGCATCTGAGGACAGACACTATGGTAATGTCAAACTAATACCTACAGCTCTTGGGTGCCAGGAAATCTCTAAAGCAGCGGTTCTCAACCTGTGGGTCGCAACCCCTTTGGCGGTCAAAGGACCCTTTCACGGGCGTCACCTAAGACCATCCTGCATATCAGATATTTACATTACGATTCATAACAGTAGCAACATTACAGTTATGAAGTAGCAACGAAAACAATTTTGTGGTTGGGTCACAACATGAGGAACTGTATTTAAAGGGACAGAAGGTTAAGAACCACTGCTCTAAAGCATTTTACATTCATTTATTATTTCACTCAAACATTATAAAAGCCCTGAGAGAAATGTATAACTATCCCTACTTTTACAAATAAGAAAACTGAGGCTCAAGCTAGTTAGGTTACTAGTCTAAAGGGACCCGTTGAACAAATGCAGCGTTGGGACTTGGACCTGAAGCTGGGATTGGAACTCTGCGCTCTTTCCTCTATTGCACAGAGGACACGAATACTCAGCGTGGTTGCAGCTTTGGAAAAGCTCATGGCCAGAGCCTATGGGGGATGCCCCTCCCGCCCGGCACTTCAGAGCTGCTGCGGATAGAGGAGCTTTGTCCTTCCTCCGCCCTGCTCCCCTCATCTAGTCTGACCCACCATGTAGGAAGCAACTTCATGAACACCATTCTCTCTCGCTGACCCCGCCAGCTCATCTTTCTCCAGATTTGTTCAACCACAGCCTCATCTCAAACCACTGATCCATCTAGAAAAACTATCTGTAGTCCCAGCCTGAGAGAAAGGGACCCGACCACGTCATTTCCAGCCTCCAAACCAGGACAGGACAAATCTGAGGACCTCAGGGAGAAGTGGACCAGCACCGAAAAGACTGGATCACAGTTTTCCGCTCGTCCTTTCTCCCTGGGGAGTAGTGCAGGGAGTGGCTGGTGCTGCCTGCAGGACCTAGGCATCGAATGGGGCAAAGGAACTGGTGGTATCGAGGTCCTGAAGGGTCCTCTCCAGCCCTTTCATTGTATTTTCCTCTGAATCATCTGCTGCCCACATTCCGGCCTTAGTGAAATTCCTCCTCCTCCTCCTCCTCCCACCCAGCAAGCACTGCTCTCATGTGTGGCTGAAGCAAGCAATTGACAGATGAGAGAGAGACGAGTGGGAAGCCAAGCTCCAGCAGCAGTTAATTAAGCCCAGCCAGGCCTCCGTCATGTTTAGCCAGGCAGACACATCACTGGGGACGGCCTCAATTGGCCTTTGACTAGGGCAGCCACAGTGAGACCTGGTCTGACCAGAGCCGCACAGAAGTGGGTTTGTGGGGCAGAGAACAGGTCTGCCCCTGTCTTGTCGCCTCCAGACACTGGGGACTTTGGAGGCCTTGTCAAAGCAGCCCAGAATGCCGCCCTGACCTAGCGCAGGGCAACCCTGGCAGCCACCCTGCTGGCCAGCATTAATTGAGCACCCAATGTATGCAGAGCCCTGGAAAGATGCAGTAGCCCTAGCCAGTTTGGCTCAGTGGATAGAGCGTCGGCCTGCGAAGTGAAGGGTCCCAAGTTCGATTCCGGTCAAGGGCACATGCCCGGGTTGCGGACTCGATCCCCAATAGGGGGCGTGCAGGAGGCAGCCGATCAATGATTTTCTCTCATCATTGATGTTTGTATCTCTCTCTCCTTCTCCCCTCCTCTCTGAAATCAATAAAAATATATCCTTTAAAAAAAAGATGCAGTAAGAAGAGAAGGATGTTGTGCCTATTTGATTAAGTCTTTTTTCTGAGCCTGCCTATTGAATTTGAGGCATTTGACACAAATGCAGATTGAGGCAAATGCAGATTCCCCTACAGAACTGGCATCAATGACGGTGGAGTCCACAGGTGTGTATTTTTAATAGCATCCTGAATTAGTTTGACATACACTAAAATCTTTTTTTAAAAAAATATATATTTCTTTATTGATTTCAGAGAGGAAGGGAGGGGAGAGAGAGAGAGAGAAACACCAGTGATGAGAGAGAATCATTGATCGGCTGCCTCCTGCACACCCCCTACTCGGGATTGAGCCGGCAACCCACGCATGTGCCCTCGGCCAGAATCGAACCTGGGACCCTTCAGTCCACAGGCTGACGCTCTATCCACTGAGCCAAGCCGGCTAGGGCCTTTTTTTTTTTATTATTCTCATCTGAGGATATGTTCACTGATTTGAGAGAAAGAGAGAAACATCCATTGCTTACATGCTCCAACCGGTATGTGCCTTGACCAGGAATTGAACCTGAAACTTTTTGGTGTATGGGACGATGAACCACCCGGCCGGGGCTGACGTACACTAAAATCTTAAGCAGACCACTCTGGGCTCTTAGAGGTGCTCTGGGCATTCAGACCCAAAGCACATCACAATATTTACCAACAAGGTACAGGATAAGCAATTGCAAGATAATACACTGCAAACCAAAGCAAGCACAGAGCACCACTGTTAAGGCCATGGGGTCCAAGGGAGCCCTGAGAACAGGTCAGGGGAATCACTCCCTCATCTCCACTCTTTGGGGTTTCCACCAACTTTCCAACTGCTGACATTTTTCTACATTCATTTTCATTTCTCCCCCACCTGTCCCTTGCACAGCTATACTTGGGAGAGTGGTACTGGGCTAGGCCTCATGTCTTTTATCTCTAATCTCTCTAAGACCCCCCACACACACTGTGCAGGTATTGTTTCCCTTGTTTTATAAGTGAGGAAAATGAGGCTCAGAGAAGATCAATGTGAACCACCCCCGTGACCACTCAGTTGCCGCACCGAAACCTTTGGAGCTGCATTGCTAAATGAACATGTCATTTCAAAATGAGTCCCCCAGTTCCCAGTCCGAGAGCAAGAATCACTTACTTGTAGGTTTTGGACCTATCCAGCCAGATACCTGAGATCATAGCCCCAAACATTCCAGCAATGACAATGGTCAGGCCTATCCTTCCAGCATTCACTTCTTCCCCCTGGGAAAGAAACCCACAATCCCAAAGATCAGCCAGCGACAGGACAAGGCCCAGGCAGGGCACAGTCACCACGAGGTGAGGGGCAAAGGCAAGGAAATCAGGCTCCATTAGACCCAGTTCTCAGACGGTATCAGGGCAGCCCTGTAAGAGGCTGCCAACGGGGAGAAAATCCTCCCAACAAAATATAACCCCAGATGTGGGTGCCTGATACTGGATGCTGGGTGAACCGAATTCTGTCCTTAGAACCACTTTGAGGAAGATTTTTAAAAAATATGTAATCCTTATAGCAACTCTTTTCTCTTATTTACCATTATTCCCATTTCACAGATAGGTAAACTGAAATATGTATATCCAAATATCCCATACTTAGGTGTTTTTGAGCTATTAGTGCCAAGAGGAATGGTAAAATAATAGTGATATATTTGTGAGCCCTTACTTTTATGAGCCAGGCACCATGCCAAGGAGTTTACATCATTCTCCCATTTAATTCTCATAATTCCCCACCAGAAGGTTAGGAATCAGTACTCCCCATTTTTCAGATGAAGAAATTGAGGCCCAGTGAGATGAACCTATCAGTCCAAGGTCACGAGGCATTTGTTAAATGCCGAGCTAGGATTTTAACTCATACCTGTCAAACTCCAAAACTGGAACACTTAGCGGCAGTGACCACCGCTGTAACTACGCGACCCTGGTCCTTTCACAAAAAGGTTAGACCTGGGATTCCTGCCTCCAGGATAGTCAGTATCCCATTCCCAGCATCCAGGCCTCACTGGTTCTGGAAGCATTTAAACAATACTTTCAGTTCAGTAACTGGGAGTGTGAAATTAAACTTTGCCCATATTTTACAAATTAAATATTTCAGATGTGACTCCAAATATATACGTTTACTTACTCTGTTGTCAGGTGGCACGCTATGCGCTCTATGTATAGATAACATATATACATATACACATAGACACACACAGCATTATTTACTTTCTAATCCTAAAAATAATCTTTCAGGAAGTCATTATGCTCAGAGACAGGAACTAGCTTGTCACACAGTTTAGTGCCACGAGAGCTGGGGTTGAGACCCTCCAAATCCCATAAGCATACCACCATACCCTGCTGCCTAGAAGTGAGGGATCTAAGGGTTAACCACTACCCCAGTTCCTGTGAGACAGACTCAGGAACCTCATTCTCTCCACATCCCGCATGCTTAGGGGACTCCCTTACCGGAAAGTGCAAGATCACCATGCGATTCAGCAGAGTGGACAAGGCATAAAAAGCCCCAGTATTCAGACCTAAGGAGGGAGGGAGAAACACACAGCGTTAGGGCTGGCCTTCTGCGGGGGCCACTGCTAGCTCCTCCCCTCAGCAGGTCAGGAGGTCGGAAATCCTTGTTCTCATTGCCACTGTGAATGGTGTCCTCAGAGAAGAAAAAAAATCCAGGGAGCATGAGGCTACTCTGCAGGGTTTTCTCCAAGAAATACACCCAAACAACCAAAAGCAGCCATTTCAACCTGGTCCTCTGGTCCCTTTAGGCCTGCCCTCAGTCCTGGGAAGCATTTCTCCCACGTCAGCATCATCCACAGTCCTTTCTTAAGCCCTTGGCTGGATGTATGGGGTAAGCGGAACTACTGGACACCTTCCACCTCTACCTGATGACCTGTCCCCTCTCCAGACCTCTGACCCTGACACCACTCCCTCTGCAGGTGGTTTCTCACCTCCTTCCCCGTCGCTCCTTCAGCTTTCTTCTCAGAATCAATGCCACACAAAACCTTATGTGTGAAACCAGAAAGGACCCTAAAAAGCATTCAGTTGCCTCTTCTAGTTCATCGACTCGTTCAACACATAAATGGAAAACCTGGAATATACTGCTAGAAGCTGCGTCCTTAGAGAATGAGGTCATTTGTCCAAAGCCATATAGTGAGTTATAGTAACTATGAGATGAGACTAGAACTGACCCAAAGGACAAAGGGCCTCTTGCCCTCCCTTCCCAATAACATTGACGATGATTGATGATGATGGTGGTGGTGGTGGTGGTAACGGCAGCAGCACATACTTGTGTGCTAGCCACTGTTCTATGCGCCTTACAATCCTCCCAACAACCCTAAAAAGCAGCTGGTGTTATCTTCCCCAATTTATAGATGAGAAGAGTGCACAGAGTTGAAAATCAAATACACCGGGAGACCTTTTAGTTTTAACTAAATGTCGAGACTCATAAGACTACCACTGATACTTGACATTAGATGCACTTAGAAGGGACACAGCTCTCTGACAGGGCAGCCTTAGGGCTCCTTTTCAATAGGACCAGCGCACAGAAACCCAGCCATCCAGCCATCCAGAAGCCATTCTCGTTGGCCCGCAAGGTGCTGGCTCAGTGCAGGAAAAGGTGGCTGTGGCAACCACTCTGGTTTAACACCTGACAGGAGCCACAACTGCCTGCAACAATGCCATAGGCATAGCTTCCAGGGTCCCCATAAAGGACAGGACAGTGAAAGAGTCACTAAACTCAGCAAAACACAAAGAATGGCTTCGTATCAGATATGAGAAGGTTTTCCAGTCCAGTTGTAGTCATTTTTACCAGAGAGGGCATTTTTGTCGTAAGCAGGGTTGCATATGTGCAGCTGAGTCACTCCCTTTTTCAGGTTCCCAGAAGGATAAGTGGCAGAGCTGGATTTCAACCCAGAGGGTATGGCTCTAGAGTCCTCATTCTTTTTTGTTTGTTTTGTTTTGTTTGTTTTTATTGGCTTGAGAGAGAGGAAGGGAGAGGGTGAAAGAGAGAGAGAAACCTCAATCGATACCCTGGGGATTGAGCCCACACCAAGGGTATGTGCCCTGATCAGGAATCCAGTCAGTGACCTTTTGGTGCATGGGTCAATGCTCAACCAGCTGAGCCACACCAAGTCAGGGCTCGATCTCCAGTAGGGGCATGCAGTAGGCAGCCGATCAATGATTCTCTCTCATCATGAATGTTTCTATCTCTCTCTCTCCCTTCATCTCTGAAATCAGTAATAAATAAAAATCAATAAAAAAAACATGTTTGAGGGTGAGGATTAAAAAAAAAAGCAACTGTTCAGATCACCCTGTGAGATTACTTTCCATAAAACCCATTTTCATACACAACTTTGAGGCTCTTGAGGACTTCTTAAGCAATAAGCATACTCACCTAATCTTTACACCACACACCCAGCCACTTGGAAATTCCATTCCTGAGTCCAGGGGACGCACAAAAGGACACATTCCTTAAAAGGGTGGTGGGGTGGAATGTGGGCAGAGAGAAGAATGAAAGGAGCCCCTAGTCCTGCTCCTCACACCTCTCAGCCCCTCTCAGCGTATGGTCCGAGCCTCACACTGCAAGGGGCAAGATAATGTTCCAAGTCACACTCCGCTTAAGGTACGATGGCTACTCTGAACTTGGGTCCACCCGGAATGAAGAAGGAGAGCAAAATCCACAGGAAACAGAGGGAAATTATCCAGGACTGAGGCAGGATAGAAAGAAGCTAGGAAAAGCTCTCGACAAGTGAAACGAGTAAGTAGGAGCAGACATCACAGGTCGATAACCCACTAGGTCCTCTCATCAGAGCCCCCAACTCCAGGCATAACCAAAGGGAAGGCAGCTATGGCAGGAAACTCCTGTAGTGGCCGCAGAAGTCAACAACAAGGCCTTGCTAAAACCAAATCAACCCCAAATGGAGGAAAAATTGACCAGAGAAAGGCCCCAAAGCTCATTATATAAAAACTAGAGGTCCAGTGCACAAATTTGTGCACGGATGGGGTCCCTCTGGGTGGCCTGCAGGGATTGGGCCAAAACCCGCAGTCCAACGCCCCCTGCAGCTCCTACCTGCTGCTCCCGCTCATCCTGGCCCCACTGTGCCTGCCACAAGCTCACGCCCAATCAGTCCCGATCTGGAGAGGCTCCCGCTGCCACAGCAGCGTCCCCAGCGATAGGCCCTGCGTCTGGTGCCCTCCTAAGGGGAGTGGCCTGTGGGATCAGCTGAAACCGGCTCTCTGACATCCCCCAAGGGGTTCCGGATTGCGAGAGGGCGCAGGCCAGGCTGAGGGACCCCACCAGTACGTGAATCTGTGCACTGGGCCTCTAAT